TATATATATATATATATATATATAATGTGTGTATGTATGTATATGTATGTATGTGTATGTATGTATATGTATATGTATGTATATATATAATCTATCCATCCATCTATCTAATCTATGTCAAAAGGAGGCGGAGATTTTAAAATAATTCATATTTTCAAAAACTTTGTTGGGGCGGGGAGGAAAAAAAAACCCCAAAAGAACTACCTGTACAGTATTTGGTATATAAAGTAACAAAAATAATTGATCGATTGCAATGATTTTTATTGATTTATTTATGACCAATTTTATTTCATCTCAGAGGAGACATTTTCTGCACCCTTAAACGTTTTCTTCCAGGCGACAGACGTGAATATAACGGACTTAAAATTGATTTCTCTTTTTAAAACAAAAACAAAGTGCATTGAGTTAAACTGGTCTTGGCAGGGCTGTTTTTGTTCACGAAATGTCTTCGTATAAATTAATAAAAGGCTAATACGACATTATTAGCTTTAAAAAAAAATAAAGAAAGCAACGTACACGTTCATTTAAAAAATAAAAACCCCGACATTCCACATTTCAAATTCAATTGAACGTGCGCAAATTCGGGATTTCAAAACCAACCGTAAAGTTTGCTTGCATTTATTATTATTATTTGCAAAAGGGAAGATTTTTCTCGAATGCTCGGTTTCCTCTTTTCTCGCTTTACTTCTGCTTTCTAAAGCAAAATGCAAGGAAGTTAGAATTAAGCATTCTCTTCCCCCACAATGTACGTGTGTGTGAAAGGGGGGGGGGGGTATCATTTGGCAGGACTCCTTTAGATAAAAAATTATTAAAAGGAGCTTTAAACTACAATATCTAGGTTACATCTTTAAATAGCTGTTTTGAAGGAGCTTGACTTGCCCGGTAGTCAATTTGACGAAAAGACCAGGGCTCATTTATTCCAATTTGAAATGGCAACCAAGAACTTTTAACGTCCAGGTTACACAGACCGCTTCTTCAGGGAAGTTCCTGCGTGGCTCTAAAGCTTGCCCATTCTCCCGATGGAAAAATAATAATAATAATTAAAAAGAGAGGTTTTGCTGAAGGAAACCAACGACATTTAAACCCCCGATTTCCCTTAAAACCCACACCCCCTCCTCCAGTGCAGATCATTCGCGGCGTCCCGTGTGGAAAGTTGGGAGTGAAGCTAGCGAGGAAAACTTCATGGGGCTACTACGAGAAAGAAAGAAAAACGCCGCCATTTAAAGTCACAAAACTCCCCGAAGAAAACAAGCTTTGAGGAGCGGAGGCTGAGGAAAAACAAGGCGACTCAGCGGCGCGAGTCTCCCGAGCGCCGACGCAAAGTAGCCGGAGTTACGATTATTAGGTTTAAATATTCGCTGTGTGAATAAAGTCCGATGGTTTTTATTTACAATAAAGAGGCCGCACTCGGGGCTGGTAGCCGGGTCCCTTTTGGCGGGAAAGGCAGGGCGGCGCTAGGCCCGGGGTCTGTCCGTCGAGGCTCCCGGCCTCAACTTTCCTCAAGAAACACACCCGGGCAGGGGCAGCTCTGAGGGGGCGCCCGGTCTCCTCCTCCTCCTTCTTTCTCTTCATTTCTTTTCGGGAAAAGCAACGGGGTCTGTGAAGCGCCGCCTCAGCGGGGCTAAGCTCGTCCTTTGGGCGGCCGCGCGGCGTCCCCCCCACCCCCACCCCGCGCCGCCTAGGAGGAGGCCTCGTTCTCTGAGGCGTGGAGTAGGAGGCCGGCGCTGGGCCCGCCCGTCTTGTGCTTCTTGAGCAGCTGCGTGATCTTCTCGTCGTCCGAGTTGGGGTCCAGGGGCCGGTTGTAGTCGTCGTCCTCCTCCTCGTTCTCCGAGGCGCCTTTCAGCCGCTCCGTCTCCGAGTCCTGCTTCTTCTTGGCGGTCGCCATCTCGGCCGCGTGCTTCTTCCGCCACTTGGTCCGCCGGTTCTGGAACCAGACCTGGAAGGAGGAAAGAGATAGAGAGAGAGGGAAGGCCGGTGAAAAGGAGAGCCGGACGGGCGGCGGGCCTGCTTGTCTGAGCCCCCGTTTCTGCGCGGCTCTCGGCTAGCCCTTTCGAAGGAGTGAATCCGGATCGGATCGGCCGCTTCCTCCTCCTCTCCGATTCGCAAGGCCAAAGAAAACCACAAGGGAATATGGGTTTCAAAGCCTCTGCGCTTTGGGAGGATTCGCACTCGGTGCTAAACGAGAGGAACATGGAGGCATTTTCACATCCTTCCAGCACAAGCAGGATTTCCCCCCAAAACCTGGTAACTTTAAGATGAGTGGACTTTTAACTCCCAGAGGCCCCCAGCCAGCATTTGGGGTGGGGGGAATTAGGGGAGTTGAAGTCCACACATCTTTAAAGTTGCCAAATTTCAAAACTTATTCCAGACCATAATCTGGTTGGTTTTACCTTGATGTAAAAACCCCAAGCTCCAATAATACACAATTATTTCTGGGTGGACTTTTAACTCCCAGAAGCTCCCAGCCAGCATTTGGGGGTGGGGGGGATTTGGGGAGTTGCAGTCCATGTATCTTAAAACTTGCCAAGTTTGAATTTTTTTTTTTTATTCCAGACCACAATCTGGTTGCTTTTACCTTCATGTAAAAACCCCAGGCACCGATAATACACAATTTCTAGTTGAATATGATATGAGACCCAGTTTGGTGTAGTGATTCAAGGTGCCAGGCTAGAAACTGGGAGACTGTGAGTTGTAGTCCTGCCTTAGGCACAAAAACAGCTGGGTGATCTTGGGCCAGTCTCTTTCTCAGCCCCAGAATGAAGACAATGGCAAACCTTGCTAAAGAAACTGCAGGGACTTCTGACAGTTGCCAGGAGTCAAGAATGGCTCTACAAAGGTGGCGTTGGAGGGATGGGAGAACACTGGAAAATTGCAGAGCTATAGTCTAGATAGTAAGGGGGGGGGGACTCTGAAAGAAGTAACATCCCTATTGTTTATTTCCAGAAAATATGGATATTTCTTTGAAATTACCAAAGTCAAGCCCATTCTCTAAAGGAATTACACATGCCTACACTTGGTTTACAAGTGTACACTTGATATATAAAATTGATGCACACACCTTTCAAAGAAAAGGCCTGATTTTAGAAATTATTATAGCATCATGAATTTGTGTACATGCATTGAAAAGGGGGTCTTCATATCCTCCCAAGAAGGCACCAAGTCTCAAATGTAGCACATGTTTGTACCTCTTAACATACCCCAACGTTTCCTGGAATCACATAGCTTATCCCGAGAATGTGATAACTCCTGTGTTTTTCCAACTTGGCAACTTTAAGGCGTGTGGACTTCAGCTCCCAGAATTCCCCAGCTGCCAAGTTTGAAAAACATTGTTGTAACTGCTTTGCAAGCATCTATGTACTGCATACTCCTCCAATTTGGACTGAGGGGACCTGGAATTGGAATCTCCATAAGATACATCCTAGAAAATGTCTTCTGAATGTGGGTACACATACTGATTGCTTAGGACACATTAACAAAGGGGGACAAGTGAAAGCCTGGGTTAGTTCAAGGGGCTGGCCTGCCTGGCATAAGGCCAAGTTATCTTTGGGATTGCTTCCTTCTGTGGACATCTTATCCACAGGGAGGTAAACATGAGGAGTTAATTCTACTTTGTTATAGGCCTCTATTAACAGAATCTTGCAAGGCTGAAAGTACAAATCGCCCATCATCTCTTTATTTTCTTAGGTTGGATTCTTTCTGAGTTTCCCTTTCTGCTTATTTTGCAGACGTCCTTGTCGTTTTTCAGCATTTCTTCCCCTTGTTTGCCAAGGTCATTCCCACATACTATTGCAGATCCAAATCATGTCTCCTCTCTCAAATGCCTTTTATCTGTGGGGATCTAGGAACTGAAGCCTTTCTATAGCTGTGTCTGCTTTGTGGAACAGCCTCTCCCCTGAGAGTCAGGGGGTCTCACCTTCCAAGGTGTTCTGAAGATCTGACTTCTCTCTCAGGTATTCGTTCAGGAGGGCAGGAGAGCCTAACAATTGTGGTTTTATGATGGTATTGTCATGGTGCTTATTGGTATGAGAAGGTTTTTAATTTGGGATATTGTGCTATTTGTTTATATCCTGCTAGCCATTCAAGTCTTAATTTTATAAAATGTAGGCAGCCATAAAAAACTTTTTTAAAAAACAAATAAAATTGGCCTGCGCTCGGGCAGCCTATCTTCTTCCTTTGTGCTAATTTTGGAGACTTCTCATAGTTGAATCATTGTGAAGTAATTGTGTCGTCTCTCTCCTCCCCCCCCCCCTCTGTTATTGTAATGGAAAAATCCCAGAGTCCTACGGGATTGGGCGGCATATAAATGTTATTAAACTTTAAACTTTACTTTTAAATTATGTTGTCTATTTCACAGTCCCGGCTTTCCTGCCCAGGCATAATAGATATAAGAGATCAAATTCAGCTATGAAGGGTAAATTAAATTTAATGGTGGTAGTTTGATATACAGTATAAACTAGTTTTAGAACTAGATTCCAAAGCTGGTTATTTCAGAGTTAATGTCATTGAGATTGACACAGTTTGCTCCAGACTGGCACTCCAAAAGGTTTGCTGTCCAAAAATACAATTTGCTGAAAAATTATCATGGGTGTGATCAGTGGTGCCTGTGAAAAAGTTAGCATGATGGCTGCAATGGTTACAACTGAGGTTCATAAAAATAGACTGAGCTGTGATCAATTATTGTGGCCTCCATTCTAGAGGGTTTTTAAAAAAAACTATACCCAGAAGACAATTCTTCGTGTGGTAGTACATTTTTTTTGTTTGGTGGAAATGTTTATAAATACAATACAAAAAGACTCTTCACCCCACTGACTTTATGATCTAGATCAGAGGTGTCAAATTCAAGGCCCAGGGGCCGGATCCAGCCTGTGGGGTGCTTAGATCTGGCCTGTGGGGCCGCCCTCGAAACAGCTAAGGACTGGCCCATCATGGCTCTGCCAGTGAAAACAGAGCTCAGGAGGGCTGTTTTCTCTGGCAGAGCACTTGGACCACCACAGGCGCCCCACCCCCTACCCCACCCTCATCCCCCCCCCAGGTCAAACACAACCCAGATGCTGCCCTCAATGAAATTGAGTTTGACATGCCTGATCTAGATCAATTTAACTGAAAAATTGACAGTCTCTAATCCCATCCCATAATTCTGTTGTTAGCAGTGTGGTTGAATCCAGACTTATCCATGCTTAAAGTAAACCTATCAGAACCATTTCTACCTAACATATCAATGATTCCATAAGTCTACTTCTAAATATGCTGAACTCTAGTTCATTATGAGTGGATGTGGCTTAACCATTCAGTAGATCCTACAAATTCAGTTTTAAGATCTGTTTGGCAACATTATTTTAGAATTGTTTTGGAGCCATGGTTTTTTTACACACACAAAAGAGAAAGTCTTTTCTAAGATAGTGGTAGCTGCAACATCCTTTTTTCACTACACATACATTTATGACAGGCTCATGATAGGTTTTTCTCCTAGTACTGCTAAAAATTTAAACATAATCATTTCAAACATCCTCCTATGCAAAAACAAGAGGAAAAGTACAAAAGGAAAATTTGCATTTGCTTTCATTTTTCAGTGCACGCACAATAGGGGCTTATCATACTTTTGCCTTCTGCACTAAACTCCACTCTGCATTATGGCAGTAACTAGTGTTAGTTCCTATGGCAATATAGATACTACTGTATATCATTGATATCCCCAGAGCAGTTATCCTGCATTTGACACTACAATTTTAATTGTGTGTTTATTTCATGCATGGGGAAATACACTCCTACATCTATTTTTTTCTCTCAATGTTAGGTGAATGACAATTTATGTCCCGGGACCAAGTGTCATGCCTTCATTGGCATCTATGTGATGATATCACATAACTGCCATCATGTTGGTGACGTTAAGGTTTGCTGGCATATGGTACCATTTCATACAGCCCATTGATATGCTCATCTCCAATGTAATATACAATCTGATAACTTTTTCACTTTCTCTTGGGCCAATAAAAATAAAGTCAAACCTAGAAGTGTTCTTATGTTTCTTGACAATCATATGAAAGGGGTTTCCCTCCCCCAACTTCCAGTGTAGTTTACAAGCTGTGAGAACTTCTTAGTAGTCCTCCATTCAAATATCACCCAAAAATAATTTGCTTGGTATTTTGAGATCAGTCAAGTTGATTAGACACTTGACTGTTTAAATACAACTGTTTATATACAATCAAGTTGATGTCAACTCTTAGCAACCAGATAAATAGACTATCTCCAGAATGATCTGTCCCAAGGACAGGTCTCTTCCAGGGACGCACCATCACCCTGGTATTAAATCTTTCCATTGATTAGATACTACTAAGCTCCAAAATCTCAGAGGTCCTATTAAAACAATGGAGCTTGCTACTTCCAAAGGAATGTGATTGAACACTATGATTTCCACTCTTTTAATGCCAACAGATTGCTGTTAAATCAGTCCATCATATAGGATTATTTATATTCACCAAAATTATTTTTACATCCCCCTATTTAATTGACTATTCTCACTGCTACAGTTCACAGCAGTGAATGTATCAAGCCCATTATGCTCAAAAGAGCCTACTCCCAAGTAATTGGGTATATGAGTGCAATTAACCATTCATATTTGTCTGGCGGATTTCAATCATGCGAGTCTATCAACTATCAAAATGCAAATGAGCCATTAATAAGAGCGTGGCAGTAGAAGCTACTGTACTCTCACCACAAAGATTCACTTAAAAGTGCATATAATTGCTCTTCATATTAGCAACCCCTCTCAACCACTATTATCTTCTCCGAGAGCATCCTGACTACCACCACAAAGCTTTGGTGTAAGATTCCACTACTCAGCAGTCAAGAAAGCACATTTAGATATTGTGCCTTGAATCAATTCTAATTGTCTCTTCAAACCATGTCCTGTTCTTGAACCACCCCACATCATCACTA